ATTTTCTGAGGGGAAATCAAAATTCGTTAATCTTTAATTTTAATTTTTATATTATCTGAATACCAGAAGAAATGTTTATTAACTAAAAGCCATTAAATGTTTGTTTATGTATATCATTTTAATGAAGTATAATATACCTACAGATTAGCATTATATTGAAGTAAGTACAAAGGTGGGCAAGTTAATGAAAATAATTAACTCAAGTTAAGTTAAGTTAAGAGGACACAAGATTGATAAGTTAAAAGTTAACAGTTAACAAATCATAAACTTAACTCGATAAGTTAAAAGTTAATATAGAAAAAAAAATTAACTTAACTCAGCTTAAAAATAGTTAATCTATTTTTTTTTTAAGTAAATCACATAAAGAGTGAATGTGTCTTTCTAGTTTCTAATTTATAAATTATAAATCAATTTGATTTAATTTTTATCATAATGTGCACTGTATACCCTTTTACTTTTTTATTATTTATTAAATTAAACTATACTTATCTCAAATTAATAATTTAACATTTAACAAATAAATTGTTTTATATCGTATAGCAATTGAATGTCATAATACGTGAAGCCGAGTACAAGACCTTCCTATATATAAGTTATATAACATTAATACATAATAATTATCAATTTGTAATTTAAAATTATTAATTTTATTAAAAACATTATTCATAAATCATAATATATACCTAACCTCGCATAATATATAATTTACAACATAATTCCTTTATATTTAAATATATAAAACAAAAACTTTAAAACCTTTTATAATTATACATTTTATTTGCATGGTTTATCACATGATTATGATCAAGTACGATTACGAATAACGTAAGGGACTGGCCGATGCAAGCGCACTATAATTCATCATGTTGTATTGTATTATAGTCTACAACNCGTACCAATATCTTTATAGGTAATTTATATTTGATAAAACCTATAAGAATAAATATATATCTAAGTTAATTTGTCCGTACAAGGTGCAATATAAGCTATATAAACATTTATACTATCTTTATTTGTTATATCTTATATATATCCTTCTTTTGACGGAGAAATGTCCAACGGGGAAAATCGCTGGACGAGGAAATATCGGACGGGGAAACGGTAACGGGGAAATGTCTAACGGGGAAATGTATTACGGGGATCTGTCCATGAATCGTCTACAACAGCGGTTCCCAACCCATGGGCCGCGGCCCACTTGTGGACCGCGAGCAGCATGGTACTGGGCCGCGAGCCATAGGTATAATATTAAATATTTTATTTATTTAAAATAATATTATTATACATTTTTTGTTATATTTCTGATCATAATAATATTTAATCAATTTTAAGTATAGTGTATAGTCATAGTGTATACTGTATACTGTATAGTGTATAGTAAATGTACAATTAACGATACGATATCGAATGTTTGAATGTAGTTTTATCTTATATAGTTCGTTGATTATTAATAGGTTCTTGTTATTTGTCATTTTTATCGTATTTAACGTGCACGGCGTGCGAATTGCGATAAACTTAATAGGTCTTTCGATTCGGTAAATTGGTAAACTAGTTATTTGTGGCAGTAACAGTGGTTGTGTGTTTATGCGTCGTTGTGTCTGTTGTGAGTTACTACATAGTATTACATAGTGTCATAGTACATATTATGTACACGTAAATATGGATACTTGGTTTCGAACTGGGTCTTGTCGTGAGACGAAGCTGTCAAATGATGAAGGAACTAGTAGTAGTGGAACTAGTAGTGAGATTGTTGATATGTCAAGTTTGAGTATAAGAAAGAAAATTAAAATATATTTTCGTAAGTATAACCCTGACTTTTTAAAAATCGGGTTTTTATTTTTTGGTACTGAGGAGGAGCCTATGCCGCAGTATGTGATTTGTTTCGAAACGCTATCCAACGAATGTATGAAATTTTCAAAACTTGAAAGGCATCTATCAACTAAACATCCTGAATGTATAGGAAAATCTCTCGATTTTTTTCAAATCAAGAAAAAAAATCTTTCTATGACTAAATCAGTCATGAAAAAATCTTCAAAACAAAACATAAACCCAAGTTTCTTATGAGCTTTCATTGTTAATCGCAAAGAAGGGGTCAGCTCACACCGTGGGAGAAGAACTTATTATTCCCGCAGCAAAAATAATAAGTAATGTTTTGTTTGATGAAAAATGTACCAAAAAAATTAATGCAATTCCGTTATCCAATACGACTGTGAAAAGAATAATTGATGAAATGTCGGAAAATGTGAAAATAGCTATTATTACTGTTTTAAAAGAAAGTGAATATTTTTCGCTGCAACTGGATGAAAGCACAGACGTTGCTGGCGAAGCTAATTTATTAGCTTTTGTTCGTTTTGAGTTGAACGGTAATATTGAAGAAGGAATGCTGTTTTGTCAGTCTTTGTCGACAAAAACAACTGGCGAAGACATTTTTAAATCTGTTGATACCTTTATAAAAGAAAACGAAGTAGATTGGTCAAAGTGTGTAGGTTTGACAACTGATGGGGCACGTGCTATGTCTGGAATTCATACTGGATTAATTGCCAGAATTAGGTTAGTTGCTCCTTTAGTTCAATGGACACATTGTAGCATACATAGAGAGGCTCTTGCAGTTAAAGATTTGGACGAGTGTCTCAAAAAAACTCTTGATGGTGCAGTTAAAATCGTCAACTTTATTAAAGCAAGACCTAAAAACTCCAGACTGTTTGGTGTTTTGTGTGATGAAATGGGAAGTGAACACAAACCGCTTTTACTTCACTGTGAAGTTCGTTGGCTGTCAAGAGGTAAAGTGTTATCAAGATTGTTTGAGCTCCGTGATGAACTTAGGGTTTTCCTTATGGAAGGGGATTATGATGGAAAACTTGCAAGTTCCTACTTAGAATTGGTAACCGATGAAAACTGGTTGAAACGATTGGCGTATTTGGTGGATATTTTTGGTGCCCTCAACGTTCTTAATTTAACTTTGCAAGGCAAAGGCATTCATAAGTTTTTTGTGCAAGACAAAGTTGATGCAATGATAATCAAGCTTCAACGATGGGCTCTAAAAGTAGAACAAGATTCCTTCGATGCATTTCCAGTCCTACATGATTTTCTTGGAACTAACGAAGTTAAAATTGATAAAGCAACAGCTACAACTATACAAAATCACCTCAAATCTTAAGCTTCCAACCTCAGGTTATTTTTAATTATTTATTTTTCTTAATTACAAATTAATATTTTTTAATAGGCATAATTGAAATCATTTTTACCCTGTTTTTAGAAACTACTTCCCTAAAATTGAAGAGGAAATCCAATGGATCAGAAATCCCTTTGAAGAACATTAATTGAAAAAATTTAAAATATCTACAAGTGAAGAAGATTCGTTGATTGAAATGTCATGTGATCAGACTCGTATTTTAAAAGCACACAATTAGTGCCATTCTGGTTAAATGTTCGGAAAGATTATCCAGCATTCGCTAAAATTTCACTGAGAAACTTGATGGTCTTTTCGACAACTTATCTATGTGAACGTGCTTTTTCTACTTTAATTTATTTAAAAAATAAATATAGGAATAAACTGAATGTTGAGAATGATTTAAGACTATAACTAACAAGTTTTAATCCAGATATTGACTTTCTCGTGCAGAACAAGCAATGTCAAAAATCACATTAAATTGTTCATCTTGTGATAAAGTTGAATTAAGTTTTTTTTTTAAATTTTTAAAATGTTTTTTTCCTAATAACTATATATACATGTATAATATATGTATATAATTATAATATATATTATATATTATATATTATAATTTTATGAAAACGTATATGTATGCTATGGGTGGGCCTCAAATATTTGTTTACAAAATTAGTGGTCCGCGAAACTAAAAAGGTTGGGAACCGTTGGTCTACAAGTATAAACCAGCATAATATTATCAATTATCATGTATATATTATAGTATTCTAAACAACTATAACGTCTATACTTTATACCTATTTACTTTAAACGATAATTTAGTTTTCAAGTTATTTTTAGAATTTTCTTTCCAATGTTCAGAATCTGGTGGTCAGCTGTATTTCTCTTATCGATAATAAATTATTGTTATTACTTATTTGTACTGCAAACATCTAATACTATTAAATGATGATAGCTTATTGCCTTTCTAATTAATAAAATATATTAATATACACAAAATTATGTTAACAAGAAAAAGAACAAAAATGTTTGTGTTATTATAGTATTGGATTATTTTTATTTTATACTGATATATTAATATTTACGTATAAACAAAAAATTTCAAAATGTTTTTAACTTATTGGTTTTTTTTTTAAATCAACTGAGAATAGCTAAGTTATTTCAACTGTAAATTAAACTAGTTAAGTTCATTAGTTAATTAGAAAACAAACTAACTAGTTAAGTTAAAAAGTTTAAAAAAAAATTAACTTTTTAACTTAACTTTAACTTTTTAACCAGTTAATGCCCACTTTTGAGTAAGTATACCATTAAGGTCCCTGGTAAGCTGTAGCCATTTTTTTTTGAAAATTTAATTTCGAAGCATGCAGTTTATTTCACAAAGAAATACAATTTTAAAAGTTCATAGCATTTTTTTAAAAAAAGAAACCAAAAAAGTACTAAATAATATTCTAATCTATAAATCGAATAATAATAAATCAATTCACCATAGTGTTAAATATAACCAATTTAAATAAATCATTTCAAACATAAAATATGGTATATGTTATGCGTTAGTCACATACAGATTATACATATGATTACAAATTCCTATTCCTAAGCGATTATTCAAGGATAAATTTGACAATGTATAAATACAAAAAATATTATACACATTATAATACTATATCATACTCAATGAGCTCGATTATATAATCAGATTATCAGTCTTAACTATTTTTCTTGTGTCTAGATTATTTAGGTTGCTTCATTTGAGAAGGCATAGTCACTATTTCACAGCATAGTTTACTATCTCGTCCAGTATTGAGTCCAGTGACTAAAGTTCCACCATTATCCAAAGATGATTCATTTATGGCCGGTTTCACCACGTAGAATTAAAGTGTGAGTTACCGGTAACTCGAAGTTAGCACAAAAAAGTAATTTCAAGACCCAGAGTTAAGTAGTAACTCCTGGTTAATGTAATTCTTGACTCCCGGATTTTAACTCCTGATATTTCTAGGTAATAACGAGCTAACCCTAGGTTATCAATGTTATAGGTTAGGTATTTTTTTTTTTTTTGTGTCAATGTTGTCGTGTTTTATAAACTTGATTTTTTACCGGCCAACTTTTTTGTTAAAATAATATGAATCACAAAATATTATTTGATTATTATGAGGATGATGAGATTGACCAAGCGGTTATTGCATTGCAACGACGCCCACGAATTTTTTATGAGCGAGTAAACTACTTGGAATTGTATGACAACCATGACTTTTTATGCAGATTTCGAATTTCTAAAGAAACGTTTCGCACTCTCTTGAGATTGATAGAAGCAGATATATCCCCGCCTTCTCAAAGGTTTATAACTTTTAATTACAGTTAAATATAGTTGCTTTTAAAAAAATTATCTCTATTCTTAAATTTTATTTTCTTGCATCTAAGATATTATGTTTTGTTTTAGGAACAGAGTTATATTAGCACCATGTAAATTATACATGATGCTGAGATATCTTGCCACAGGATCATTTTTATTATTATTATTAATAAATTATTAACCGTCTCAGACTTTACTGGTGTTAGTGAATCCTCAGCTTGTCGATACGTTCGTCAAGCTTGTAGAGCCATCGCAAGGCATAGATCAAAATTCATTTATTTTCCTAAAAATGTTGTTGATATGAGAAAAGTTGTTAATGGATTTTACAGCCTTTGTAGATTCCCAAAAGTGGTTGGAGCTGTGGATTGCACTCACGTCAAAATTCAATCACCAGGTAGGCAAATAACTTAAAATAATGAATAACTTATAAAATATATATGTTGTCATAAATTATATTGTCATTAATGCGTCATGTATGATTAAATTATGGTTTGTAATGAATATTGTAGGTGGAGATAATGCAGAAACATTCCGAAACAGGAAAGGTTATTTTTCCATCAATACACAATGTATTTGTAATCCATGGCTTAAGATTATGGACATAGTTGCGCGATGGCCAGGGTCTAGCCGTGATCAGATTATTTTTGATAACTCTTTAATCAAAAGTAAATTTGAAAATGAAATTATAAAAGGATACCTATTAGGAGACGGTGGTTACGAAGTTAAGCCTTACCTAATGACTCCTTTGCTGAACCCTACCACACGAAGCCAGCAGTTATACAATGAAAGCCAAATCAGGACAAGAAATGTTATTGAAAGGTGAATATTTTGTTGTATATTAATTTTAAAAGTATTTTGGTAAAATTAATATAATAAACTAAAATAGTTTATACAATATTCAAAATATATTTTCATTGGGTATATATTAATAAATATTAAATATTAATAATAAATATTCTTTATATTATATAAATACATTTAAAATAAGTATACTTGTGTATCATATAATTCAACAAACGATTTTACATTTTACCACACATCAAAAAAAACATATGTTGGAAAATGTTGGACTACCAGGAAATCTTTTTTAGGGCCTCATAATATAAATAATGAAACATAAACAAAAAAGGCATCATTATTTTAAATATATTACTTTTATGCAAACAATTCTTTCTTACCTCTGTTTTGAAAATAAATGTTGTATATTTTGTTATAATTTTTCAGATGTTTTGGTGTTCATAAACGAAGGTTTCCTGTATTGAGCAAAGGAATAACAACTAGCCTAATCAATACACAAGCAATAATTGTGTCATGTGCTATTATTCATAACATCTGTATTGACCTACACGATGAACTTCCAAATGACATCCTGCAAGAGGGCTACGATATTGAAAATATTGCAGAAGATAACCTTCCAAATTTAATAGAGGTTACGAGAGGCAGACAAGAACGAGATCGTCTGGTCAGGGATCACTTTGGCAATTTAGAATAAAATTGGCCTTGTATTATTATTAAATAAATAAATAAACATTACCTACAACTCTTACATAACCTATGTAGTTGATGCTTAACCAATAAAGAAAAAAAAAATTAATTGTAAATATACATTTATTTTTCTTATTATGAGTCTTTAAGTTTTTTTTAAGTACTTCTATTTCCAACAACATTTTTTTTTCTTTTAAGGCTACATTTGTTTTCTTGATTTTATTTATTTCAAATTCTTGTTCCAAACATTTAATTTGCAATTCCACTAGCCTGTCTTTGTTCTGCAATAATGTTGTTGCCTCTGCAGTCCTACTCTTGAGACGTTTGTCTGAAATGTATTAAAATGCTTATTAAGGTATGTAAAATAGTGTTATTCAACATTATTTTAGAATTTGAACTTGCTAACTCACTTTTGATTCTGAGGGGAGTGCTTATCTTCCGTTTTAAACTTTGAGGTGTAACAACATTCCATTGCAGGTTTTTATTAGTACTTGCACCTTAAAGAAAGTTACATTTTAAAATGTATATTATTGTCAAGCATATAATTCATACATACCTTGATCACTACACAATTCCGTCTGTTTGACATTAGATGTCACATTTTCAGGTGTTACAACATTCCATTCTTCGTCTTTACTGGTACTTGCACCTTAAAAAGGTTATATTTTAAAATTTATATTATTGTAAAATATATAATTCATAAAATACATTGGTCACTCCACAATTCTGTCTGTGTACTATGTAAAACTGTAGTTGACTCTGGTTCTGGGTAATCTAACTCATCAGGTAAAACTAAAAAAAATATTTTATTTATATTATATTTTACTTAACACAATTGGACCTGTTATATTATGAAACATAAAATTACCAGTAACATAGAAATTGTCATCATCCCCATGTTCATTGTGTTCAAACATTACAGGGTCTGAAAAATCAGTCAAAATGGATCATGAAAACTATACAATTTTTCCTATTTAAATTTAATATAACCTTTTTTAAAATAGAGACATATGGTCACCCTAACTACATAATACAATATTACCTATTATGTCATTGTCATTGTCAGTATCAAAAATAGATGCCATGCCATCGACAGACAGTTGGATAATGCCCTTTATTTTTTCCTCAACATCATCAAGGGCTTGAGCCTGGTTTTTGGTTAGGTTACTTTGATGGAAAACGACATTTCACACCTGTCACACCGGTACGGTCACCCTCGTGCACCAACCGGTATCTCGTCAGAGAACTCCTATGTATGAATGATCTATCACATATCTCACACAAGGAAGGTCTTACACTCTCGTGACGGTTAAAGCGGTGTTCATCCAGTTCTGCTCTGGTGTAAAACGCCATAAAGCACTCGTAACATGGAAATTCTGGTCTGTGTTCAGTGTGTATCTTTTGGTGCCTCTTCAGTGTGACTCTATAGGAAAACCTCCTTACACACATGTGACATCCACGTGGCTGCTCGCCCGTGTGCGACCGCCGGTGTACAATCATATAATTTTTCGTGAATATCCTATCATAAAAGTCGCATGCCCAAGGTCGCTCACCCGTGTGTACTCGCTGGTGTGTTCTCAGACTACTGCGATGTTGGTACGACCTTTCGCATACATCGCATGGAAATTGTTTCTTAAATATGTAATTTTAACAACTACTAGCTTGGTTACTCATTTTATGAGGTTTGGTCTTTCCACAGACGTTAACACACGTATTTCTCTTGTTGTGGTATGCAGCGTGAGAATAAATGCATTTTCAATGATATTGTATCAAATAACATAACAATTAGTGTTTGACAAAGTAAAAGTATAAAATGTTTAAATACGATTTTATTTTGTGTATTTACCAGTTGGAGGTTGTTTTTCTTGAATAAAGTGGTTACTTGTAGATTTGAATTTAAAGTGGAATCCAAGCCAATGTTGAGTGCCTGTTTTGTCCACAATCGACAATATAATGTAATAATTATATGTAATGACTGTAATATGTTTAAAGTTTAAATGATTCTTTAATAGTTCTGTAATAGTATAAAGTAATACATTTCATAATTTTTTGTTTTATTTTACTTTGTATACTTTTGAAGGTATAACTTACTTATACACTTGAGCGGATCACTGCAGCTAATTCCTGGGGGCCGATTCTTGAAATCATACGACTAATTTTCGCATGTGACATAAGTCATACATTTTATCAATTGTGACAAATTTTTATCGCATGCGACCTACAATTGGTATTCTTGAACTGAATTCGATAAGATTTTATTACTTGTCGAATGCGATAAAGTAAATCGAATTAACCACTTTGGAACAACACAGAATCTAGATTTTAACCTCAAACAAACTGGAAAATTATAAGAAATTAGAAGATACTAATAATACACAATATGGAGACAATGATTATGAGCCATCTATTTTCAATGCCCATCAAGAGTCTGGAGATAGTGAAGAAGATGAACTAAGTACTAAGGTAATTGAAACAAACACTAACACTTATCCATTACAGTTTTCTAAAATTGGTAATCAACCTGATAAATATTTGAATTCTCGTTATAGAGCGAAAAAAGGTCCTGTCGATACATATTTATATAAAAAAAAGTCCTTTGGATATTTGGGAACTAATATTTCTTCCATTAATTGATAAAATAGTTACAGAGTCAAATTTATATGCTTCCCAAAAAAATTTGCCTTTGGACACAACTCCAGAAGAAGTTAGAGCATATCTTGGTATTGTTATATTTATGGGTTACCATTCGTTACCCAGCATTCGGTCATATTGGTCTAATGATCCAAACTTCTTCTGTGAAAGAGTAGCAAAAGTTATGACAGTCAAATGGTTTTTGAAACTAACTAGGTTTTTACACCTAAATGATAGCTTGCAAATGCCACCTCGAAATACTGAACATTTTGATAAACTATATAAGGTAAGACCTTTAATTAGCCATTTAAAACAAGTTTATTTGGATTTGTATACTCCGTCCAAACGGGAGTTACCCGTTTCCGCCAAAAGTGTACCTTTACTTTTTCCCCCAATTCACTTTTCCGCCAAATTATAAATTGTTCGATTCCCCTTTCCGCCAAAACCCTGCCTTTCCCTTTTCCCCCAATTCAAAAAAGTTAGTCTAGTTTAATTTAAATATTTTTAATATATTATAAATTATAATTTTATTTTTATTTTATATACATTAAAAAGTTTGTACTATAATGATATATATTCCTATAACGTACCGTAATTTCAACCAAATGATAAATTTATCACTGATTATCGGGATTATTTCCCAAACGCTATCGATTGCTTGTTATACCAGTTATATTGTTACAGTTGACACTTGACAGTTGTATGATACGTACGAAACCTACGTTATTGTACCTATAATAGTATAATAGTACGCAGCCTAGTCGCTTTCTAACCGTTCTCGATAAACTATAACTTACTATTGAATTTATTACTTCTTTTGAACCGAAATATTGTTGACTGACATATTGTATATTTTATAAATAATATTCAAACATTATTCAAATTCTAGACTTACTTTTTTGATTTGGTGGAAAAGAGAATTGGGGGAAAAGGGAAAGGCAGAGTTTTGGCGGAAAAGGGAATCGAACAATTTATGATTTGGCGGAAAAGTGAATTGGGGGAAAAGGGAAAGGTACACTTTTGGCGGAAACCGGCCATGCCCGTCCAAACAATTAGCAATAAATGAAAGTATGGTAGGCTTTACAGGAAGATCAACCATGAAGCAATTCATGCCATTGAAACCTATAAAAAGAGGGTTTAAAGTTTGGGCAATGGCAAATTCTTCTAATGGCTACCTAATTAATTTTGATGTTTATACTGGGAAAAAAAGTTCAAATCAAACAGAATTCGGCCTTGGAGAAAATGTAGTATTAGATCTGACCCAAAATTTAAAACACAAATCATGTTGTTTGTACTTTGACAATTTTTTCACTAGTATTCCACTGATAGATAAGCTTCATAAAAATGATTTATTTGCATGTGGTACTTTTCGAGTAAATAAAAAAATGTATCCAAAAGATATTACGAAGAAGGATAAAGACTTCAAAATGGGTGATACAGATTTTGCTCAAAGTGGTGATGTGAGTATTTCAAGATGGAAAGATAGAGGTAAGAAACCAGTCACTTTTGTTAGCAATATGCATAATGCTTCTGCAACAGAAATTGTTCTAAGAACCAATTCTAGAGGTCAAAGGACACCTATTTTATGTCCATCAAGTATAGCCGATTATAATCGTTATATGGGCGCAGTTGACCGCTTTGACCAGTATATGTCTGCTTATAGTTTAAGCCAAAAATCAAGACGATGGTGGGTAAAATTGTTTTATTATATGTTGGATACTACAATAGTCAACTTTTTTTTGCTTTACAAAGTTAGATCAAAACTAACTGATCAGCTAATATCAGATTTTTCATCTCGACAAAGACGACCTACCATTTCCCCTATGAGTAATAAACGTAAAGATTCTACTGGTTCTGTTCAAATTTCTGAAAAACATTTGGCCATAAAATAAGTACATATCGTCGCTGTGTGTCATGCAGTAAGTCCAAAGAAAAGCGATCCAATATGGCTTGTGACACTTGTCATAAAGTTTTGTGTAAAGACTGTTTTGCTAAATATCATGAATAATTCTTGTTTTTATTTTATTATATATTTTAATCCTATTTTTACAACCAAAAGTGAAATTGTGTGATATAGTTTGTAAGAAACAAACACAATATTTTATAAATTTGATTGTGTATTTATTTATATTTATGTTTCTAATATGACTCGTTAACTTTTTATTATTTAAAAATATTTTTATTAGAAGGAAAAACTTATTTTAAACTAAATTTATTGCTGTAAAAATGCAAATTATGTTTTTTGTTAATTATTTTTTAATGATTAACCTGTGTAGGTAAAATCTTTTATATATATTATAATACTGTATATTTGTTATCATTACAATTTGATGTAGACAAGCTTAATATATAAACAAAGAATGTATTAATTTACTAAGTCTGTTCAATTTTTTTTTTATATACATCAAGTACTTACCTGTAAGTAGAGTATTTTTTATTTACATACTATGCAAATTTGTTAAAAACTTTTTTAAATGCAATGTTGATGGCATTCATATTCATATATTTGTGTTTCTTAAAAAATAAATAATTAATTTCTTATAGCAATTCATACATAAAATTAATTTCTTGAATATCAGAGTAGGTGGGAAATAATTTCCCTGTACCCGCATAGAAGTATTGTATGAGCAGAACAGTCATTGGGAAATAATCTCCCATAACTTCCCACCCCCAAAATGTTTTTTTATTTATTTATTTTAGTATCCTCTATCTATAATTATGTTATCCTGAAAATTCCATCCATTTCTGTTCACATTTTAACTAATGCCCTAAAAAGGGTTATATATATATATGTATATTAATATAATATAGATGTATATAAATAGTAAATATATTAGCAATACACAATAAATGTAGGGTATATTAATTTTATTACATTGATGGTCGGTTTAGTATAGTGTCTTTTATTTATTATTATTTTGTATTTTTCAGTAGATTTATTTATTCAAGCCACATAACTGTGTGTTGATCTCATTGGAATCGGCTAATAATTTAATTTATTTCTTATAATACCACACAATTTGATATACATCACATTCGGACATTCCACAGTTGCAGAATTATTTGCGTTTAATTAGGTATCAATATGGACTTGACCGTCGACGGTTAGGTCGGCTTGGTTAGTAAACAAAAAAAACAATAATTATTACATAATCAAACTCAAAAGCCAAATTTTCAGTTTTGTATAAAAACATTGGTTTATAAAATTAGTACATATCATGATAATATTATAATTTATAACTCTTAAGTTGGTTTTTTCCCAAGAAATGGTTTAAAATACAGTAGCCCGTTTCGCCAAAAAATGACCGTACCCGTTTCGCCTGGGTACCCGTTTTGTCCAAATTTTGTTTTTATATGATTTCCGTTTCACCCAGAGTAGTTTAGACCAATTTAAAATTAAGTTGGCAATAGTTCAGTCAAATATTATATTTTAGGGAACGTTATAAAACCTATAGTAATAATCCAGTCGTTATCGAATTGAAATCGATCCAAATCTATAAAGCGAATTTATCAATTTCTCGTTATGAATTCATAAAAAACACGTGTCATCATTTTAAAAATAAACTATAGGTGATAATTATAAATATATTTTGAACGATTAAAATCGATTTTTTTTATAAGATATGTGTAAATTTTTATGACTTTAATTTGATTTTTTAATAATAAGTATTTATAAATGTTGTGGACTAAATTTTAAATGTATTAAACTTTTGTGAAAAAAAAAATGACGTGCGTATAATAGTGCGTATAATTTTCGGAAAACAAAGAATATCGCCTCCTTTTCTGGATAATGCTAAATGATAATCAAATATTTGACTGAACTATTGCCAACTTATTTTTAAATTGGTATTAACTACTCTGGGCGAAATGGAAATATACAAAATACACATAGGTCCTTAGAACGAAATAAAAGTTTGCTAAGGTAAAAATTGATTTATCGTTACTAGTGTCGTTACACCTATGTAAATATTCTTAAATTTCTTACTTTATTTCATCATTGAGATTATTAGGGTAACCACATAAAGTATGGTTTAAGTTTAAAATAAAAAACGGAACTTAAAATATGGGTTCCAAATTGCAATAATTCTGGTTTACTGATTTCGACTCCTTAGGTTAGGCCACCCATTTAGTAACATACTGTTTTCGGCTAAATATGGTTCTGATGAAATATTTTCGAATAATATGTTTATTGTTTCGGATGAAAGACGTTTTATATAAAATATTTTCTGCTATATTATTTTGATGACAATATTTTTTGGCTAAAATACGTTTCTGATATAGTTTTCGTATCAAATGAGGCCTTCAGGGAAATAACGGACTAACCTTAAATTAATGATGTTGAGAATTATGCATGCAAAAATAAAAAAATTACATTTTTATGAATATTTTTTTTTCAACTGCCAAAGATGTATTTATTTTTAGCATAATAGTTTTGATCAAAGAAGTACTTATGGTTGCTGCATTAATTTTTTTGAAAATCACCCCCACTCTTGACTTAATGTGGGATAGTCCATTTTAAAACTATCATTTTTTTATTTTTTTTTATAAATGTGGGTTAGTCCATTTGTTCATAAACTTTATCTTGTACATGAATCACAACATAAGTACGTTGTATAGTATTTAATGATAAAAGAAAAAACATAAATATTTAAAAATTTTCAAAACTTCATAATTTAACGAAACATTTTAGTATAAAAAATTATAATTTTTTTTTCAACATTTTACTAACAAAACAAGAGATAACTTTTCTTAACATACCTAATAATATTATAAACTTTTATAAAATTATAAAATAAAAAAAAACAAAATTTAACATTTCTTAACACATTAACTACTTCATTTAACAAATAAAAATATAAATACGTAATAGAAAATTTTTTTTTTCATTCATCAATCATTACTAAAGTCGTCATCTACTAAAGGTAGTTCATTAACATCAATATTTTGAATATTGGTCTTAAGACTATTATAAAACTCATGATGAATTGGAAGAACAAAATCAAGTAAACATAACAGATCTTTTGGCATTTCGAAAGAAAATTTCAACCATTGAATTTTTAACCACTCCACTTTAGACTTATCAACATCAATTTTTCTGTGTGTGATATTACTTTCTAATTTGTTTGTTGAAAAAAAACGCTCTTATCCATACAAATAATTTTAAAGGGGTTACGTTTGCGTGCCACCAAAATAACATTATTCCAATGTTGTGGAATCAAAATGTTTGGAAATTGTTTTTTTTGTTTTTTAACCAGACCGAAGTCCTGGTCACATGGCAAGTATGAATGCCCACTAACCAAAAATGTATGATCTATTTTTTTAACCATGTATTCAGGACTATGCTATATAGTAACAAATTTTTAAAAAAAAATGCAAAATACAAGACCCTATTTCGTGGGGACCCCGAGAGGCAACAGACTCGTTCCAGACAAACATGTAAACATTATTATTACCCATGTTGTGGATTCCAAAACAATACGTCCATGACTGTCGTTTACAGTAACAAATACCTGTTGACAGTAAAGGAGTAGGTAATGTTTTCATTAAACAAATGTTATGACATTCACTAAATATGAACATTAACGTTAACGAATATGTGTTCATGAATGACATTCTTTCCAAACACTGTAATTACATACCTACTTATTAGCTTAGACATATTTTGTTCAAAAATAAAACTTAACATTTTATTGCTTATTGATTTAAATAAATCCTAAGTATTTTTTTACATTCTGCTGTGTATAGTAGATTTATTTCATCAAACCACAGAATTATGTGTTGATCTCATTGAAATTGCCTAATAATTTAATTTAATCCTTTTAATGCCACACAATTTGTGTGCAATAAATAATATTTGTATTGCCGTCGACGAACAGTTCAGTACCTATGTCACATTCGGACATTCCACAGTTGCAGAATTATTTGTGTTTAATTAGTTATCAATATGGACAAAACCGTAGATGAAGAGTTGTTATATATTATTTATGTACCCATATTGTATTACAGTCACAGAATTTAAATGGTTACTCAGATATTTAACCAGACATGGGCACTCTTACTGACGTTTGTAACGGAGTCGAAGAACAGTTCTGTTTCATATAGGTATCTCGTATTATTTTGTGTTTCATTTAAAATTTAACCAAGAGAAGGACAAAACAATATACAGTCAAAACTCTTTATAACGAATCTGAAGGGACCAAGAGATTTCTTTCGTTATAGAGAGTTTTCGTAATAGAGAGGGTTTAAAAAAACAAAATTTTAATTATTTATGTATAAAGGTATGTATGTATGTAATATTATATATCAAACACATCATTATTTTTACAAATAATGAAAGAATGTAATCGTTCTTGGAAATGTCGGCATTATTGCCGATTATTTTTATAGTTTATATATGTAATAGATACGATAACACGTAAATTGTATTATGAAACATAAAATATTGTTTCGTTATTGAGAGTGACTGATACGTTATAGAGAATGAATTGTCTAATGGGTTATATAGCAAACCAACCATTAATATGTAATGTTTACGTTATATAGAGTTTTTCGTTGTAAAGAGTTTCGTTATAAAGAGTTTTCACTGTATAATTATATAGAAGGACATAAAATCAAAAAAACAGTACCTAAGTGTAAGGCTCTGCTCTATGACTTTGGTTCGGTCTGTAAATGCGATTTCGAAGCGTAAGAACCGAAAAATAGCACATGCTAGGATTTTAAAAAGAACAAACTACCAGAATAGGGCACAACAGAGGTCGACGGCAGAGAACGTGGGGTTATCTCTTTTCTATGGGGTAATAGGCAAACATTTTGAAGCAATCCCGTCGAAACTCGAAAGTCCTTCGGTGATAAGGCGAAGGCGATATTTCAAAACGATAACGCTGCGATATTT